AAAGTGAGTTTATAGATATCGTAAATAAGACCTCACAGTAGTTTTGGACTAAAGGAGAATAAAGAATATAGATGGATGCTAGTTTTTTTTCCCAGTTTAATTGGACATAGACAAAATGACACTGTATACTTTCTGAAGTGTTTGGGGCTTCTTTGGATGTCAGAAATATATAACAAGTTTGATACTTTGGATAGCAAATAAAATGTAACACATATGTAGTCTACTTCTCAAAAGGTTATTTTATTAAAAATTATTAAGTACTAACCCCAAAGGGAGAGTTAATATCAAAATCTTTTGTTTGAGTTAGGTCTAATTAAAGGTATGAAAAGTTTGTTTTGGAAAACATTTATGGGTTCATCTTTTGGGAGAAGTGGAGAACTGAGGCCGTCATCCAGATATTTTAGGCCCTCACACTGTCAGGAAAGGATTTTTAACTTTTGGAAAAGAGCAGGAAGGGAAGAGCACTGGGAAAGAGGGAGAAAGGATTTTGAGCTGAATCCTTCATTTTAACTCCCTTGTATTTAAGAATAAAAAATGCTTCAGTTCTCCTCTCCACCTAAGATGAGGGATCCTGATTTCTAGAGAATAAGCTGTTTAAATCATTTTGGGATTTTGTTTCTAGAACAGCTGACCAGTTCCTGAAGCGTTCCTTGGAAATGAGGGAGCGTGTTCTGGGCCCCGATCACCCTGACTGTGCCCAGTCTTTGAATAACCTGGCGGCTCTATGCAATGAAATGAAACAGTATGAGAAGGCGGAAGAACTTTATGAAAGAGCGTTAGACATTCGGAGACGAGCCTTAGCTCCGGATCACCCTTCCTTGGCTTACACAGTGAAGCATCTTGCAATCTTGTATAAGAAAATGGTAAGTAATCCTTGGCATGCTTACATGTGTTTTATAATATACCAATTAAACCATAATTACTATCAGCAAAATCATTTGTCTTGTGATGGATAGATTATTTTCTGTGAGCTTTTAAATCATAATGATTTAGTTGTTTAATAAATAATTGAGAACATTTAAAAATGTTATTTCAGACTTAACTAAATTAAGATACTGGTTTTGTTAAAATACATTCTAACTACAAATGCATTTGTCAGCATTCTAATTAAACTTACTATGTTATATTTCAAAAGTTCTGAAATTCAGCCATTGTTACGTTTGCTGTGTTAAGCTTCCACAAGCATAAATTACCCAATTGTCGCGGCTGAAAGAAGAGTTTTTATAATTGATTAAATGAACATTTTAATTTCACTCTTTCCTTTGTCTACAACTAAATGTAATGAACTAACCACCATTCTTTTGCCATAGAGTTCTAGCCAGAGTGGTATTTGAAACTTTTAACGCTTTTCTCCCAAAAAATGCCAGAGAAGTTTGCTTTTATTTAGTACAATAACAGAGCAGCATTAGACTGTCTCTAGACTTTGTGAGACCCTTTGCTGGTCATCCAGGCACTGAAGTTGTTTTAATAAGAGGGCTCCATTGTTGTTATTTCTCCCCAACAAGTAAAAAAGAATTGGAAAAATCTGAAAAGAATTTGGTGGGAAATGAGGGCTTTTTTAATGCCATCTCTAAATTAATGTATAGTATCAAATATATTCAGGGTGAGGCAAAAATAGGTTTACAGTTCGTAGGGAAAATAATAATAAGTACAAGAATAAACTGTGTTTCGTGCGCACACAACAGTAAACCTACTTTTGCCCCATGCTGTACTTTAACTGTCAGGTTTTCACTTTACCAGAAACAGTGAATAATAATGGGTGATCCTAAAGGGCTTTCTGAATTAGCAAAGAAAATGGTCTTATATTCAATATAGCTTTACTTACACATTCTATTAGATTTCAGCTATCTATAAACTGAACCATTAAACTGGGAGGTAATGCTTCTGAATTTTCTCAAAAATTACTTTTTAATACAAAATTTTATTTATGGGAAAGCTCTGATCAGATAGTATTTATTGCTTTAATATTTTTCTTAGATTTCACTTTTGTGTTTTAGGGGAAACTGGACAAAGCTGTACCTTTGTATGAGCTGGCTGTTGAAATCCGGCAGAAATCCTTTGGCCCAAAGCACCCTAGTGTAGCCACTGCCTTGGTGAACTTAGCTGTTCTCTACAGCCAAATGGTAAGTTCCCACACTTTAACTATTTAGAATTGAATGGTGTTATAGTATGATATAGGTAAACAGGAATTAGATGTGGCACGGTAAAAATAATTAAAGGAAACTGAAGGTTCTTTATCTACTAATGCTTCCTTTAGTATTTGAGAAATTATTGAAGTCACATTCCTCTTAGTGTAAAGCACCAATGGAGTGTTTAGCTCATTGCATAGGCTGTTTTTAAATTCTGGAGACTCCCTACATCTCTGTATCTAATAGTCTTTTTAAGCTTCAACATTTGCCTGTGATGGATGAGAAACAGGTGGGCAATAAAGAAACACATTTGTGTTTATATAATTGGATAAGTGGTTACCAACCCAGGTCTAAAACCAGTTTCTTGTTTTCTATTATACTGCTTCTCCCCGTATGATGATTCATAAATTAATCTGTTTATCCACATCTTTTAGGATATTAACATTTCAAAAGAGCTTACTGAACTTGGTCAGCTTAATCTAGAATACATTAATAGTAATTTCATAAACCCAGTGTGTTCAAGTGAGTGTCCTTGATTTTTTTAAATAAGAAAAAGCACATTGAAGCCTTGCCACTGTATGAAAAAGCATTAAAGATTTACGAAGACAGCCTGGGTCGGATGCATCCTCGAGTTGGAGAAACACTAAAAAATTTAGCTGTGCTCAGGTAACAATTTTTTCACTTTCTTCATAAAGCCAAACTACCTTTTAGAACACCTTTTAATTTGACTCATCATGGAACAACAAAAACTACTATTGCTGAATGTTTTTTCTTGGAGGTGGAAGGGTTGTTTCTGGTTGATTTCTGTCAAGAGATACAGTAGTCATATCTAGAAGCAAAATGAAGGCTTGCACGGTGTATTCTGCAGAAGAGTTTATCATGGCAAGTAGTGAAGGATGGTTTACATGTACAACCAGCTGGATCTGGAATAATATGAATAGTCTGTTGTCCTCAGAGCTAATTTACCATTAAATACGTGTTATGTTAACTTTTGCTTTGTGTTGTTTAACCCAGGATATAGAGAATATCTAACTTCCCTTAGCAATTTCACTGCATCCCTCACAACATGGTCTTAATGGTTTCCATATGAGACACTGAAATGTTCCTTAGCAGTACAAACAGGAAGGAAAAGAGTTTAGGGATTCTATTTTTCTGGTCTCTCTGAGTAAATACATGCACTGGGGGGGAAATGAGGAATTACTCACTTGGGTTTTTTTCCTATAAGGTCATTTAGAATTGTTAATAGGTTATATTCTGATTTTAAGAGTTGGTTTTTTCTCTCTCTCAAAGCTATGAAGAAGGGGATTTTGAAAAAGCTGCTGAACTATACAAAAGGGCGATGGAAATAAAAGAAGCAGAAACGTCACTTTTGGGTGGAAAAGCTCCTTCCCGACACTCATCAAGCGGAGGAGATACATTTAGTGTAAAAACAACCCATTCTCCTAATGTTTTCCTTCATCAAGGACAAAGGTAGTAGCAGCAATTACAATTCACTGCACATGCACCTTAGAATAAAATAACGAAAAAACATGTGGAGCATTAGAATTTAAAAGTATTAAAAATGTTTTTAAGAAAATTTATTTTTACTTATTTTTAATCATACATACTTGTATGATTTAAGTGGTATTTGTATGAGATTGTATTGGACTGCACTGAAGTCTGAGTCATGAGTATGTCCGTCCATTTTAGTTAAAGAAATTAACTTCCCTGTTGTATGGGGTGTGATGCTGTAGGCACTAGAACCCTAAGATGACGTGAAGAATAGGGTGGTCTCTGTGCTACAAGAGCTGGCCGAGCATGTAAGACAGGAGCTCAAGAATTCACAGTTCTTTTCATCTCTCCAGAGCTATTTTACCTCACCATTCCTTATGTTGCTTTTCAGCAGTAGCCTGGCCTAATTCTCTACCTCAAAGAAAAGTTTCAAGGAATAAAGGGATAATGTTTATGAAAAGTGTGAATTGTCTTCTGTAAAGTAACTAGTAACAGAAATCTCTGCTACATTTTTTTTTTATTCTACCTTTTCCTTGAGCAGACTGGATCAAGCCCTCTGCTTTCTGTGCTTTGTACATTGTATATTATTTTACTGTGTAGTCTGTATCTGCATAATCTGAAGTCATTAATGCGGTAACAAATCAAGCTTGTTGGCATTCTTTGAGCTTACCCAAAATATGGACATGTCATTCTCCTCTCTTCCTTCTTATATGGCCTAAATCTGTCTCTTCATTTATCTCAAACTCAAATTAGTCTTCTATTTTATACTGAAAATTAAATATTTTTTATAGATTTTGTAAATATTGCCACATTTTGGATATTATTTTGTATCATGTATGTATTTATATATAATAAAATCTCCAATTTTAATACTTGTAAGATTCCAATATGAATTAATTATTAAAGGCAAAGAGATATAATAACCATACTTCACTGTTTTAAAATAAAAGTGCAATTTCAAGTTCCCTTTTTTCTGCTTGTTGATATAAGAGGATTACATTTACATTAATTAAGAAATACATTACCAAAAGGACTTGAATGTTGTCACTACTTGCTGAGTAGTTTGCTCAGCTTGAGCTTTGGTGACTGTATAGGATTTTGCTGACTTTAAGGCCTGGCCACTCACAGCGTGGTCCATGAATCACCACCTGGGAGCTTATTAAAAATTCAGACTCTCCCCAGACCTACTGAATCAGAATCTGCAGTTTCTCTAGATCCCTGGGTGATTCAGATACACAAGTCAAAAAGCAATGGTCTAAGGCACTACAGTGGCGACTTAAAAGAAATTAGGTAAGATCTTATAAAGTGAACATCCTTCTTCCCCCTTTTGAGAGATGTTCAAGAGGAAATAAGATCAAATATGACCATAAGACATCTTTCTGGGTTTGCCAGTGAGGAAAGGAACGCAGTAATTTAATTTACAAACATACCAGACATTGATTTTATAATTAAGCTATCAGAGTTTAAAATATTATTTAGTGATAATAGTAATTTAATACATTATAATATATTAAGTTTAAATGGATTAAAAAAACTGCTTTAGGAAATAAGTTAAGATCAATATACTAGAAGAACCTTGTTACATGTCTTCCCGCTTCATGACATTGGAAACATGAGTGGTAGGGGTGCTTGCTCAGATAATGGTTACACATGCATTTTTTTTAATTGGTCTCCAAACCATTGGAAATTTATTTCAGCCAAGACTGTCAAAGCCTTCATTATTTGTATGCAAGTGCAGGGAAAACCAGTTTATCCATTTACGATTTAGTGGTCATGAAAATGACCCTCTTCTAGTGAATAAACGCATCAGGCATCTCAGAGGCACTGTAGGCCCCTTTAATGCCCACTATCTAGAACAAGCCCTGGCCAATATTTCATTATCTGGGGAATCTAATTTAATTGAGAAAGTATTCAGAAGGTAACCCATATGATGGGTATAATCTAGATGATCTTAGCCTAAATGTATCCCTTGCTTCTCAATAAAGTACAGTAATTCCAGATACATGTCCCACAGATGCAATGATTTCTTTTCCTTGGTCAGTGCAGAAATATAACTTGTACTTCCTCAAAGTACCTTTACCTGTCTGTCCTTGAAAAAAGCTTCCTTTTGGTTGCCTGATTTTGAATATATAATTCACAAGTTTACAACTTTTCCAATGACTACATTTCAGTTTGCCATCAGGAAACATCTGACAGAATGTTTTTATTTTAAATTCACTGTTGGCCAAGTTAGTAGAGTGGACAGTTCTCTTGTAGAGAACCATTCCAAAGCAAGGAGTACATGCTGCTAACTCAAATCAACAGGCTGTGCCTCTTGTACTTTTCCCTGTATTTCAGGACCATGTACTACTTTATTGTTCATGGCCACAGATCACAAAGTATTACTGGAAAGAAAAGGAATGTACATAGCATCAAATTTCTTCCCATCCCTCACAAAAGGCCAAAACATTTCAATGACTACATTTTCAATAAGATCTATAACTGCCTAAGATAATCCTTTGAAATTTCCTTACTAGAATGAAACATGAGTTTTAGGAGAGTTATGGATTTAGTTGACGGTGGGGTAACAACAAGCAACAGTCATAGTATTTTCAAAAAGTATAACAAATCAGAGAAGATTATACATCAACTGATATTGCCCTAAGTTTTGCCAGTTTTAAAATGACATTTTTTAATTGCAAAGGAATAGGCTTTGCAATTAAATATAGGCCAGTCCATTACCTACATATTCTTCATCTTGGCCATGAGATCTTCCAAGCTTTCACCAGAATCTTCCACTGTTACATCAGGTACAGAATCTTCTTGCTATCAACAAATGAGGGAAACAGTGAAAAAATAACCATATAAAATTCTTGATGCTTAGAAATATATAATCAGTAAGCTTTAACCATGTTCAAGTTTAAAAAGTAAATTTTCTTTATGCCTTCTAATTTTTAGGAGAGACAAAGTCCCTTTCTTTCCACACCAGTGTCTTGATTTACAAGGCAGTAATTTCAATATTCCTGAGATATCTACTGAAGTGGTACTTCTAAATGGTATTGTGGTTAAAACTACCAATTTACAAAAATGTTTTGATGTAATCAAAATCTATTTTACTTGATCCATTAATAAGTGAACATAAATTTTATATTTATGTTTTCAAACAGTTTAAATGTGCTGTGCATATGTTCATATTAGCACTGAATACATCTCTCACACATCTTAATGCCTAAGGTAAAATATCTAATACAGGAAATACTGCGTTGGCATTATAAAGTAGGATGAAAATAACAGATAAACATTTTCTCTTATATGATATTTACTTATGATAAATCAGATTTTCAATGTACCTTTTGGGGAACTGTATAGGCCACTGTAATTCCTTCAGGTAAGTCAGGAACTGGACCTGAAGAATTTTTCAGTTCCTCTTCTGAAACCTCAGATACCAACTCAATACCTGTAGAATTAATTTGACCTTTAACAGTTTTTATGGAACTTAATAAGCAATAATAACTCAAAACTTATATAACCTTAATTACAATTAGATTTCCTCCCATAAAAGATGTGCTTTATGCTCCCATTTCAATTTATGAAAGGATTCCTACCCCACTCATTGTCTTCATGTATTATCTCTTCCTCTTCTTGAACAACCTCCTGTTTGGGCAGTGCTGCTACCTTTTTCTGTAGAAATCAAACAGTGTCAAAGTGTTTTTACTCCTCAGTTCTCTGAAGCATTAATCAAGAATTCAGGCAGGCTTTTTATCCTACCAAAAGCAAAAAAGGACTTAGAACAGAATTTTCATTTTTTAAGCACAGTGAATAAATTAAATGTTTAAGAACCCAGAATCCAATTATATTGAAATCCAAATCTAAATAATTTTTTTAAGTTACTATCCTATGCAATATGTTCTCTCACACATTCTGACAGATTGACATATACCTTATATTCTTCCTGCTGTTTCCTGCAATTTCTGTCATCACACTGAGGATTTGGCTTCATGGACATGGTAGGAAAAAAATCTTGCATTGCATTGTATCCGAGGTAAAAACTAACAGTACCAAAATTTAACAGAAACCTAGAAAAACAAACCAAAGTAACTTTAAATAAATAAAAGGAGAAAAGTATTAAAAGTAACTGGATTTTTAAAAAATGATTTTGAAATAGGTAATGATTTTTGTAACAAGCAAGAAAGAAAACAGAAATGTATTATCCTGTTACAGGGCCTGACTCATAAAAGATATTTGTTGAATGAAAGCAGGAAAGAAAAGATTACTTTCATCAACCAAAGAACTCTCATTTTTTTAACTAATAAAGATAAAATGCTGCCAATTAAACTTTGGTATGTCAACAACTTTAAGAAGCATACTGATTTTAGAGAGGCTAAAATGTGGAAGTATATCTTTAAAATCCCTGAGATATACTAAATCTAACTAATTTTTAAAAATCTTTCTATTTAACTTACTATAAAGTTTATAATCGTAAATGTACTGCTCAATAAAATTTTACAAAAATATTCACCCATGTAATCACTACCAGATCAAATCTGATCTCAGATTCTTTTAAGAGGCTTATATTTAGAGGAAAAATCATGTACATAAGATAAACAACAAAAGGAAAAATATTTGCAAATTTATGTTGTTTTTTAATTTTTAAATTTTATTTTTGTTTAAAATATTACAGATGTCCCTTTTTCTGCCCAATGACCCATTCCACCCCGTCCCATCCTCCTCCCCAGTCCCTCTCCCCACCATTGTCCGTATCCTTGGGTTGTGCATATATGCCTACAAATTCTTTGGTTACTCTCTCCCCCTCCACCCACCTGCCCTCCTCCATCCCTCTGACATTCGTCAGTCTCACCTATGCTTCTATGTCATTGGTTTTTTAAATTGATTTTAGAGAGGAAAAGAGAGAAATATCGATTTTGGTTTCATTGTTTTTTTTTAATATTTTTATTTAATGGTTGATTTTTAGAGAGGGAGAAGGAGAGGGAGAGAATCATTGATTTGTTGTTCCACTGATTTATTCATTCATTGGTTACTTCTTGTATGCGCCCTAACTGGGGATCAAACCTGCAACCCTGACATATTAGAATGTTGCTCTAACCAACTGAGCCACTCAGCCAGGTATAAATGTATATTCTTAATATATAGCAAGGAAAAACAAAAAACTGAGCAAAGAATATGAGCAAATAATTCACAGAAAACGGTAAGTGCCCAAATGATCACAAAAAACAAAAGAGATACCCATTTTTCACCTATATTGACCAAGATTAAAGAGTTTTATGTTATCAAAATATATCAAAGGTGTGGGTGAACCAGGTGCTCCTACACTGTGATAGAAATGTACAATCCCTCTGAAAGAGAAATTTAGTAATATCTGTCAAAATAAATTTGCTTAAACCCAGAAATTTCACTCATAAAAATTAAAACTGTACAAAAATCTAGTAGTGCAAAGATATATGACAAGATGTTGTTTGCAGCATTATTAACAAAATGGGTAAGTAGCCTAAATATCCATCAAAAGAGGGCTTATAAATATGACACACCTGTAAGAGAATACTTTATAGCCATAATTTCCCCCCTTTTCAAATCATTCTATGAAATGTTTTGTTTAGATAGGGCCTACTCAAGTTTGTACAAGCTATCTGCCCTTATATAAAACAGCTTTAGACGGTTGCCTTAAAGAGTTCTTATGTATACTTTTTACAATATTTGCTGGTAATGGACACTTCTGATATCAGAGCACCTCCCTATAGCACGCTGCAGTTTGTTCTTATATTGGAGGTTTAGGAACCATAACTAAGTTTATTAGGGTTGTAAAGTGACAAAAAAATGACCTAAGAGGGGGACACCTAAAGGGGTTCTACTTTTAATCGTGAGTTGATTAAAAAACTCTTTGACATTCATTTTAGCTGTAAAGAAACCTTTGTCCTTTTTAGTTATAGTTTAGATCAGCGATTTTCAACCAGTGTGCCACAAGAATTTTTAAAACATGCAATACCTGACTATTTAGTCAGAGGCACTGACCTCTTTTCCCTTAGACTGTCAAACTAAAACACAAAAACAGCCAACACAACAATAGCTGTATGATGTGAATGAATCAAAATTTTACCTAAGTTTTTGTCAGATCAGCAAAAATATATTTTTTGGTGTGCTGCAGAATTTCAGTAATTAGTTTATGTGTGCCATAAGATGAGAAAGGTTGAAAATTCCTGGTTTATATGGTATGGTTACTGGATATTTGTTTTTGGGTAACAAAAATATTACCCTCTTTAATGCTTAATCACATTCATATTATTTTTAGTAAGAGTTAAACAAGATAGTGGAAACAAGTGAGTTTATGCCCAAGGCTCCAACCTTTGGTCAAACTTGCAGAGACTAATATTATTTAGTTAATGAGATGTATATAAAATACACCAGTACCACTGTACCATTTAATAAGAGCTATTCCAAATGCAGAGAGTAACACAAACATGTATGTGTATTAATATATGTAATAGTAATTAATATATAGTTGGGTCTTGAACAACATGGGTTTGAACTGCACAGGGTCCACATATACATGGATTTTTTTTTCAGTGACTATATAGTAGACCCTCTGTATCCCTGGGAATCTGCAGAAGCAGAAGGCCAACTATATATGCATTGTTCTATACCACTTTATATTTGGTATCCATGGGGGTCCTGGAACCAATCCCCAATGGTTACCAAGGGACAATTAGTTAAATTTGGGGGGAGTCAAAAGTTATACATGGGTTTTTTACTTCGTGGGGGTCAGTGCCCCTAACTCCTGCATTGTTCAAGAGTCAACTGTCCATTTAAATTATGTCTGTTGAGATATATTACGTACAAATAAAAAGTATATGCATATTATATACAGTATGTAAAATAAAAAGTATATTTAAAACTAAATTTAAAAAACTAAATTTAAATACTTAGCTGGCAATTCCTATACTTAAAATACTTCATGAAATATATTTATTTTTATCAAAAGCAAATAAGACTTCAGAAAAATTAAACCTTCACTCACTTTAACACATTTTGTACCAAGATCCCAGCAACCACTCCCATAGTGGTAGGAAGACTGGCTGCACAAACACCTTCTCGTTTCAGAGTCTTTTCATCAATATTTGCAGCCACTACAAGTGGTGGGGCACACTACATGAAAAAGAATAAAAGAAAATGTATTGCCAAGAAAGGGAAAAAGTATATGTTCCAAATAGTAGTCCATCATATTCAAAGTGTGTTTTTTTCTTTGAACTGTAATACATTTTCAATGTCCCTAGGAACTCTTGTACTTAACAGTGAAAAATAACCCAAAATGAATTACACATACCGCAAAACAAGCAGATTCTCCAGGAATTATGAGCTGTATGTGCCCCGAAACTGCATTTTCACTGACCCCAGACTCCATCCATGTTTGTCCAAGTTCATTACAAGCCTTGGTAGAATAGGTAAAAAAACAACAACAAAGAACGTAAAAGAGCAACAAGTAATTTACCATAACTTCTTTTCATGAAAAACTGGGGTTTAAATGTACAACCATTAATTTTTTTAAATTAATTTTCAGAATAAAAAAGGAAAGCCATAAATAATGGAATTCCTTGGCAACTGCCACTCTCTGTTTAAAATAAACTGATAGGTAAGCAGTCAATAGATGTTGAATAAACATCTATTTAATTAAATTGAAGCATAGTTTATTGGATTTCTTATTAATGTAAAACTTCATTTTTCTAAAATTATTTCAGCAAAAAAGTCACTTGAAAAGCTAAAAACACAATAATTTAAAAAGAATTCAGTTTTATTTTTGAGAAACCACACTTAAAGGCTATTTATATATATTTATACATTTACTGAAAAGCAAAGTAACAAAAGTTAAAACCAAAGTCAACCAAGAATACAGTATTATAAGACAGTCATTTACTTTAAAAATTGTACATCACAAGTATCTGCTATTTTAGTTTCCTCTATTGGCATAAGAGAGAGCAGGATATTGAAACATATGCCATGATAGCAAGGCTAGACAGGTCCCACAGCCATTAGAAAACATTCAAAAGTAGGCTAAGGGAACATTAAAAATAAGTAAAACACATTATAAAAAGGTGTAGATGTAGAGCTACTTTTAGGATGGGGAATATATACTGATAGAATATACAGGATAACAGATAAACCCATGAATATAACATTGTACCCAGTAGGAATACTCACTGTATTTATTGCCATTCGAGCTTCAAAATTGTCCACACAGCTAAGAACTAAGTCAACAGGTTTTCCTTCTAATCCACCATTACTAGGCAAAGAAAATAAATTTGAAAAAAATCAAGACACAAAATACATTCTAATTAGACTTTGTTTAGTCACTCATGTACTGTTTCAGTAAATGTTTAAGTATAATTATGATATAGTATTTAATATTAAAGATCCAGTATATACAGGGTATCCCCCAAAAAAGTATATACTCTGTAACAGCTGATAGCTCAATTTTGAAAATGAAATGTATTTTAATAAGCACTGCCTTTACAATTATTCAAAGTGTGCATATACATTTCTTTGGGATACCCTATATAGAGTACTGAGTAACTATTATGAATGTAACATCAATGATACTACAGTACTTCTTACACAACACATACAAGGATGCAAGTAGAAAGTCTGTTTACAAAAGTTACCATTTACCTATCAGCTTTCAGACTTTTATTCAAAAATTAACTGAATATGATTCATTATTTCAGTGGAGTCTCGGCAGACAACCATTTTCAGACAGAAATGTATTCTAGAACACAGAATGAGTAATTGAAGATTCCTTGTTATACCATTATAACAATAGGGGTTTTTGATTTTATTTTGTTGTTAACATTGTATTTTGGACAATATATACTTTTTACTGAGCTCCCAGTATATAAAATAAATAAACTATTAACTATTACACAAAAATTAACTTTTATTTTTTTAAATATGTTTTTATTGATTTCAGAGAGAGGAAGGGAGAGGGTGAGATAGAAACATCAATGAGTCATTGATTGGCTGCCTTCTGCATGCCCCCTACTGGGGATCAAGCTCGTAACCTGGGGATGTGCCCTAACAGGTAACAGACCCAAGATCTCCTGGTTCATAGGTCGATGCTCAACCACTGACGCACGCCAGTTGGACAAAATTAACTATTTTAAAAACAAAAATATATTTCCATTCTACCAACTCACTGAATTAATCATCAGCACATTTTCTAATAATATTAGTTTGAGCTGGACATTGTGCAAAATATTCATAAATAAAATTTTACCTTATTCTACCCATGAAATGTTGAAAGTTTTCTACTGTGGTTATATTATAGTTGTGTACTTCAAAAAGAACATCAGGATTAATGTTCCTAAGAGACAGAGAAAAAAGATTATAAAAACTACTAGTAGGAATAGTAAGAGAAAGTGGGAAAGAACTAAAGCGCATTTAACAGAGATCCGAGAAACGGAATCCAAGCTATTCAGACGAAACCCTAAACCCTCTTCTGCCTCCTTGTCTCACTTCAAGGACCAGGTTCATAATGTGTAGACTACCAGGTTTACGAAAATGCCCCACAGCCTGAGTGCTGGGAATGAAGCCTGCCTGCCTCTGCTGGCCACAGAGCAGCCTAGCAAAGAGCTGCTCTGCTCATGCAGTTCGGTGCAAGTTTGTCTGGGCTCACAAAGAAACTTCTCAGGTTAAGGGTTGGCCATTGCAGCCTTTAGGCCAAAACTCACCTGGCATCTTTCTGTAAGGTCTGTAAGCCAATAATGGCTTTTACATTTTTAAATGGCTGCAGGAAAAAAGTCAAAACAACATTTCATGAAATGTAAAAAATATATGCAATTTTAACTTCAGAGTCCACAAGTAAGTTTAACTGCAGCAGAGCCATGCTCATTCATTTTTATATTGCCTACAGATGCTAATACACTACATAGCTGCCCAGTTAAGCAGTTCCAACGAAGACCGTATGACCCTCCATGCCTAAAATACTTACTATCTAGCCCTATACAGGAGAAGGCTGCCAACCCAGATCCAAGAGGTAAGAGAATTCTTTATGTAAGTGACACCTCCACTTTTATAGAGAAAAATTCAGGTCCGTTTATACATTAGGTTAACTCATACCAAATATACAAGATAAGATTTTACTAAATACGGTCTTAATTGCTATTCCACTTACCTCAAAGTATGTTCTGCTGCTTGAACTTTACTTAATCCTGCTTGATGAGGCTGGAAGAAAAGTCTATTCATATTGGCCAGTTCCACCTTGTCATAGTCAAAGAGTAGTAACTAAAAGGAGAATAGATATTCTGATGAAAAACATAAAGAATGAACAAGTGGGCTTTACATTTGATGGGTTTAACAGTTGGACAGTAATAATAAACTCGTGGCACATATTAACACATTTAATGCTCATATGAGGCAAGTATGTACTTAATATTATCCTCATTTCAGAAATGAGATAACTAGGGCACTTGCTTAAAAGCCACTCAGCTAATTTGTAGAGGAAAGGGGATTCAAATTCAGACATTCTCAATCCAGCATCTGCTCCCTAGCCATAATGCTGCACTGCCTCTCTAAATGATTTGCTAAGAAATTCATGTTCATTCCATTTCATTCCTATTTTTGCTAACAGCCAAGAACCCATTAGATAAATAAAATTTTTCAATAAGATAAAAACAAATGCCATAACTTAAAACTATAGTATAGTGTGACTCCTTTTGTGAATATGACACTACATATACACCCATACCATGGCTAAAGCATTATTCCAAACAGAATTAGAATTACTAACCAATCACTTAATTGTTTCCTGCTATATATTTAGGCATATAGTGTTTACTGCCTAAATATGCCTGACAGTGTTAGGCATGACACACACCCCCCTTTAAATTGGCCAAAAGATCCCATTTCTTATCAGTAAGAACAGGTTGGACCCAAGGATTTCCAAGGTCCCTTCCTTGATCTAAAATTCTGTAACTTTGTAATATAATTCTCAGTATCCTAAATTTAGCAATAAAAACAAAAATGAGATTTTCTTCTTCTCAATCAAAAAACTAAAAAAAAGATAACCCAGTCCATATCAACAACATGTAGGTAATCCTTAAAATCCTTCTAGAAAAGATATCACTTATGCCCCCTATGATAATTTTCTAACCCTAGAGTCTCAAAAATATTATTTAGTTAAGCTCATTCCACATTATTTATTAGATCAGGCCACGCGTTATATTAGTTTTGGCCTCATAGCTGGTTTATGAGTAAGTTGCAGGAAATCCTAAATTTGGGGAAAAGAGGTATGAGTTGTAACTCTGCCACTAATTAGCTTAAATCATGGGTAAGTCACTTTCACTTTTTAAGCCTGTGTCCTCATCTGTAAAATAAAACAGCTGATATGGATCTAGTAATCCAGGGTGTACTGAGGATTCCAGAAACTTTCAGTAATAAGACGTGGGCTCTGGGTATTCAATCCTCCACTTCCCTATTTAAACCCATGAATTAGCTTCTTGTTTACTCATTTTACACATAAGAGAAAGCATTCTGAAACTTACCTATGTAGATCCTTAGCATACAACCTTGAGTGCACACTGGACTCACTTGGCGAGTTTTTAAAAATACAGATGTCTGGGTCCGATTTCCAGAGATTATGATTAACTTATCATGGGGTGCAGTCTGGACATCAGAATTTTTTTTTAAACTTTTCAGGTAATTCTAATTATAGCAGTATTTGATAATCACCGTTCTAAATCCTTGCTACTCAAAATGTGGTCTGGACTAGCAGCATCAGCATCACCTAAGCTTGTTAGAAATACAGGAGCACTTTCCCAACTTTAATGTGCACATGAATCATCTAGTGATCTTGTTAAAATACAGATTCTGATTCAGCATGTCTGGGGCTGGGCTTAGGAGTCTTCATTTCTAAAAAGCATGCAGGTAATGCTGATGCTATTACTTCAGGGACCAGACATTGATTAGCAAGGATCCAGAGATTCTTAAAGTGCTGTTCCTAGAATAATATCAGATTCACCTCGGAAGTTGTTAAAAATTAGAATTCTTAGGTACACCTGAAACCTACAGGATCAAAACCACTGAGGTAGGGCCTGGCAATCTGTGGTTTAATAAGTCTTCGAAGGGATTCTGATGCACACTCAAACCGGAAAATCATGGATTTCCATGATCTGTACTATCCTTGGTAAGTCAGCCAGAGGTACTTACATCAGCTATAAGCAACTGTTGGTTGGCTTTTATAAGCCTCTTCGAGGACTTTTAAATTGTTAATAAACATTTTTAGTATTTTGGTGTTGTATTTTCTACATTGATAAATAAGTGCCAACTTTGAAACTACTTTCTTTTCTTAATTTGGCACATGGAGTGAAGTAACATTAAAAAATACTGAAACTTAATGGGAATATGCATGCTTTATCAAAATGACAAATTAAAGGATATATATTTGTGGAAAGCTTATGTATTCAACCACTATATATCTAACATCATGGACTCAAGCTTTATAAGTCTAAGACTGGTAGACTGATACCTGGTATAAGGTTACTTCTCCTTCCTATCCACAATCTAAACCAATTTTAGAAAAAAAGTAATATATATATGTGTATGTGTGTGTACATATATATGAGTTAAAAAATATATGGAGCATTCTCCAGTTCAATTTCAAACACTTAAGTCCAAACTGCTTATATATTACCACAAATAAAGAAGCTCCTGAACACAATTAGGTAGTCCTTGTTTAATTAGCAATAATATTAGCTTCTGTTTCGGTGGGGTTATGTCTTAACCCTCTCAGGTAGAAAGAACAATCTGAATAACTACACTACAAATCAATAAACCATTAGTAATGAGGGGAGAAAACATTCTAATTTGTACCTGCTTTACTCCAGAAGTGAGTAGTTCTCTACATAATAGGCAAAGAGAAATGTTTTTACCTTACCAATGCCACATCTTGTCAGCATTTCAGCAGTCACACTACCAACTCCACCAACACCTACTACTGCTACAGCAAAGGTACGGATTTTCTGTAAAATGCAAAATTATGTATGTCTCGGTTAAAAAGTCTCCATCAAAAATCATTTTAATTTATTGAAACCATCTTCAAAAACTTGGAAAGGTTTATCATACCTCATAATCGCTTACAATTCCCATTCGTTTCAATGCCATCAGGCGGCTTAAAACAAAAGGAAAAAAAAGTTTTAAAGGTTACAATCTTAGTGACATAGGTAAACATACATCACAGAAAATAGATACCAAAAGTCAATCATTACTAATCCTTTAAAAGAGGAGAAATCTTTCAGCTGGATTTTACCAGATGAAATTAAATCACTGGGGCAGCTTTAAAACCACTAAAGCCCAACTCTGGAGCCCTTACCCTTCAGCACTGCGCTATACTCGGCCTGCTGAATTTGCTGAATTAACAACCCTTCCTAGGAAACAAAGAAAGGAAAAGGGGACCGAACTGGTAAAATCCAGTGGCTTTAGAGCTAATCAAGCTCTCCCCACCCCATCCCCAATTGAAAGCCTTCATGAAACTCGAAGCTTATGTTTAGCAGGTTTTATATCTGATGTCATCTTCTGAAAGTTGTTACTATCGGTTTTATGAGGCCGACTAATAGAGTAGGGGCGGTAGGAAACCGGGTACGTGTCCTGGGCAGGCGCAGGAGCAGTCCCATATGGCTGGTTCACTTGTTTGCTTTTTGTTGTTGTTTCTTTAAGAGAAAGAACATCTTTTAACCAGCACTATAGCCCGGCTTTACCCGTTTGGGAACAGGACCCCCAGAACGAGAAAAGGAAGGTGGGGGGCCGCGTGAGCCGGACCTGGGGGAGCGCCTCACTCCTGGCCCCAGGGAACCGGGCACCTCGCCTCCCACGCCCGCCTCCGGCCCGCGGTCACCTGTAGGGGTTGGAGTCCACCACCTCCGAGCTCATCTTCTCGATGCGGGCCCGGCAGCCTCCTCCGTCGCCGCCCCCCGGGGCCCGCCGACTTCTTTCTTGGGCCAGTTCCCGCTCCAGCTCCTCCACCCGCTGCTGCAGCCGCTCCACAGACTCGGCCATGGCTGGGACTCCGGCCGCCAACGCTCCCAGCCCGGGCCGTCGCCGCCGCCGCCGCCCCACGTTGACAGGCTGCTGGGCCCGTAAGGAGTGTATAAGGTGGCACCTAGCGGCCCTCCCAGCCCGGAACCCTGAGGGGGCGCTGCCGGCGCCTCACGGATGGACACGTCTCCGCCGCTCCCGCGGGCCGCCCCAGCGCTTCCGCGGTGCCGCTTCCGGTTGCAGTTACCACTCCCCCTCTCAGGGAAAAAAAACCCACAAACCAAAACAAAACTACCCAAACCCACCCCTTCTAACTGCCTCCTAGTCGAGTCCTGAGAGACCAGGCCGCAGCACAGCGGGGGTCCTAAGCGGGCGGTCGGCCGGCGACGTTGCCTTTTCAACCCCGCGGCTCGGAGAAACGCCAGGACCTTTTATTTCTGGGCTGGAGGTCCGGACGGGCCCTTTTCTGAAGAGGACCCGATAGATCTTCCGCCTGCGGGCGCAGCACTTTCAGAGGTAGCAGAGGCCTCTGCGTTCTTATTTGCCGGGAGTGACTAAGGCGTCTTTGCTGTCTGTAAAATTGACATCTCGAAATCCGAGGCTGGCTGCTCATTTAAAATCCTAACCCGCAAGAGGTTCTTTGAACATTTGCCTATGGGGGCCGAAATCACCAGGATTCAGCTCCGCAGTGTTGCTCAGCAACGGTGCCTCCACGTGTGGGATTGGCTGGAGCCGGGCTTCGAGCCGCCTACGGGCCTTGCCCCCGGCTTTAAAGTGACCAGTCCCGGCGCAGCGAGTGTCTTCGGATCCGGTCTCTGCGGTCATGACGACCCTCGCCTCGGGCGAGCCGGACGCGGCCGAGGTGCTGCCGCTGCACAAGTTTGACTGCAGTTCCCTGGAGGCCTACCTCAACCAGCACTTGCCTGGCTTTGGGGCCGAACCCGAGGCCAAGCTGACAGTTGCCCAGTACAGGTATCGACGCCAGCCTTCTCCTCCAGTGGAAGCAAGTCTGTTTATGGCGCTTTTCTTCCTTTGGCCCTGGGTCGGTTCCCAATCCCCCCGCCCCAGTTTCTTTTCCTGTCATGACGCATTGTGCAAGCGGGAGCTGGCGTCACCCGCGCCTTGCCTTCCATTCGGGGTGTTTGCAGTTCGAGGGCAATAATGGAAGCGATCATAGTCATGATTCCAACGGTCTGAAGGAGTTTTTGTTAAAGGATACAATTACGTATCTCGAGGATTCCCTGAGGCTTGGAAGCTCTGTGGGATATACAGAGGCCTTTTCAGCTTTTGTTTTATAACCATTAGATCTTTTTTTTCCCTGAGAGGCGTAATTCCTTTATAATTGGCCATATTCTCGGAGGCAGAGTTAATGGTACCAGCTGAGGGATTCGAATTCTGTCACAAGATCTTCCACTTGGCAAATCACAACAGCACTTCGGGCTTTAGTTCTTTTTGAAGTGAGGGGGTGGAACTGAAAGATGATCCTGAGAATACTGTTCCCTACCTTGAATCTGGATCCACTGTTTCATACCTTGAAATGTGTTTATAATAGAAAACACATTTTCTCT